CTCCTATAACCCTCCCCCCCCCCCAAATAAAAACATCGAAGACATGACAATTCCCAGTTTCATAACAGATTGCTGGGTATTTTATGTTTTTGTATGCATCGTTACACTATCAAATTAAGAGTATTAATCATGATTCATGGCCGATAGTTCTTTTTAAGGAGGTATGTGAAGAAGCCCAGAAATTTGTTAAAAATTCTTGGGTGCTTCTTAATAAACTGTATATATTAACTATTGATGGTTATAAATAAATCTTCAACTGCTGTAGTGAACATTTATACTCACTAGAACACTTTAAATCTCAAAGTTGTAACGCATCTTCTGAATTTCCGATGGCGCGAGTTTTCATAAAATAATCACTTTATTTTTTATCTTTTTGAGAACATGTATAAGTGCATATTGGTGTTTGATCAATGTAATAAAAGCAACTGTAACCACTACGTATAAACGTAACTTTCGTCCAATTAATTTGAAAAAAAAGGCATATATTATAACACTTGAAAATTCTCACATAGCTAGCTAGCTTCCTGTCTCAGTGACTCAGCAGCAAGTCTGAAGCTTGTTTCTTTTTGACTTTCGCGCAAAGCTACTTGAGGGCTATCTGAGCTAGACGTCCCTAATTTAGCAGTGATAGTCTAGAGAGAAGGCAGCTAGTCAACATCACCCACCGCCAACTCTTGGGCGATCCTTTTACCAACTAAAAGTGGGATTGACCATCACATTGAAAAGGTGATCATGTTCGGTTTCGATATCCATGGTGGACATAGCACAGATAGCCCATTGTGTAGATGTGTGTTGAACAACAAAACAAACGAACAATTTCCACATGAAATATAGCGTACTGTGTTCATGAACATTGTTGTTGATGATGTTGACATCTAGTGTTATGATAACTTGATGCTTTTAAGTATGTAAAATGTTATATGTATACAATTTGGTAATTAACGATATCAATTTTACAATGTAAGCCATAAGATTAACAGCTGCACGGGAAATATTAGTTGTTTTTCCCGACCATAAAGTAAGCGTGCAGCACGAGTGTAGCGTGCGGTCCAGTAGCGGCACCTACCGACATGTGTTTGAGAGTATGTTTGTTTTGTGCAAGTGGCCTTGAAGAAAACAACAACGTCATCAACTTTCAGCATGTATGTCGAATTCAAATCATGCCCAGTAGGATACTGGAGAAAAATAATTTTGTCGAACGTGTTTCATTACCAATAGACTTGATTAGTTGAATACGGGACTAAGGCTTACAGAAAGGTAACACGTGGGTGCACGTTTATTATGTAAATACCAAGAAATGTAACAATATCTAAGGGGCGCCCCTTTCACCACAAATACTATATGCTGTGTCCACCGCGGGAAATCGAACCCCGAATTTTAACGTTGTACGTTCATATACTTACCGCTGTCCCACCGAGGGTCAAGAACATTCATAACAGTTACGAAATAGTAAAGTTAATTAAATTACTATTTAAACTTGGCGTGCTTGTATATCAGATGCATTAATCGTTTCGTTTTTAATTTAGAGAAATCCCCTTGTTCCGTACAGAGGTTAAATATGTCTTCATTTAAGCCTATCAAGTTGGTTTATAAATAGCTGTCGAACTCTGGACTCTTGATATATAAAGAAAAATATATGACAGAAGTACACTGAGGTTACAAACTATCTTTTTTATCCAAAGAAACAAACAACAACAAAAAAAGAAACCTATGATTTTAATATATTTGCAAACAGCGCCATCTACGGTGTATCATCGCATATCAATTTCTAATCCTTCCCATGCTGAATGTGTGCTTGTGTAGAGGTACACGTGTCTCGATTAATCTCTAAGATAGAACATCTACAGCTCAATTAAGAAAAGAGTAAAACAATTTGATTATTTCGAAACATACACACTCTCTTCCCTCCACCAACAACCAAAAAGAGATAAACTTTTTGGCGTGTTATCAGGTAATCCCCCCTGTTTTCATAGTATTTGACTATTTGGACAAGTAATCAGAATCCCAGAAACATAGGTTTGCATTTTTTTGTGTAGTTTGTGTGACTTTATCTTCAAGTCAGTGTACGTGTGTATTATAGATAACTTTATTGAAAGGAATAATGGTGTTTTTTTGTTTGTTTGTTTCGGTTTTTTTTTTCGAATAGTTTTAAAGAAATAACAATTTGAATAAAATACAACGGCGGGGAACAGTTCAGAAACCTCTTCAAATACAACGGAACTATGCTGTACTAGATCTTGTTGGAAGAGACATCCGTTGTAAAGCTCTGTTAACCCTAGATTTACCGACGGGTCCCGACCCCATTCGGCTTTTTAAAACACTTTTCTAAACTATTGAGCATCAAACTGTTTATGGCTCCATAAATTTTGTTGGTTACAGGGCTACTAATAACTTACAAGTCACACACAAATGAAATTTCAACAAACATGTGATTAATTTTGCAATTAATCCCACTAATTAGGTCTGAGGTTCACAATGAAGATGGTGATATCACCCAATTTTCGCTCATTTCTTTACGCTGATTGTTGTAACAAGCAATATATATATAATTACTTAAATACTGTAGTATATGGTATAGAAAGAAGTCGGTTACTTAAATACTGTAGTATATGGTATGGAAAGAAGTCGGTTACTTACATACTGTAGTATATGGTATGGAAAGAAGTCGGTTACTTACATACTGTAGTATATGGTATAGAAAGAAGTCGGTTACTTACATACTGTAGTATATGGTATGGAAAGAAGTCGGTTACTTAAATACTGTAGTATATGGTATAGAAAGAAGTCGGTTACTTACATACTGTAGTATATGGTATGGAAAGAAGTCGGTTATTTACATACTGTAGTATATGGTATAGAAAGAAGTCGGTAGTTTGAGGGTTTAATTTTTTTTATTAACAAATGAAAACACCAAAGAAATGGGCCATGTGCACTCTATGTGGTTTGTAATGACCTCAGTATATGGTATTGAAGAATGTGAGATTTTAATGATATATACACATATATATAAAACTGTATAATTAAACTGAAAATCAGAAATATATTTAAGTTGTTCTCTTTGTAGTCTTTTAGTGCAAAAACTACTTAATGGGCTATCTTCGTTCTGTTCACCACGGATAATCAAACCCCGGATTTTAGCGTTATAAGTCCCTAAACTTATTGCTGCCCCACCAAGGGACAAATACTTTAAGAAGCCCAATATTAAATTTGATTGTGTTAAATTACTTATTAGGTTTAATCATATATTTGTGGTAAAGTTCACTAAAAAGGGATTTTAAAGAGCTTATACGTGTATTACACTCTGTCTCTAGTGTATTACTGTGTGTACACGTCATT